CTCCTTGATTTAGCATCGCATCTAACTTCACGTAGCTAGCATCAGTTTCAATTTCAAGGGTTTTTTTCCTCGTCTAGAGTGTGTACTAATTCCCTTTTCAAATATTCAAAGGGGAATATAGTGTTGTTATTTACTGCGTGTATTTTTAGCGAATAGTTTGAGATCCAACGACTATAATCAACGAACATTCCGATGATTCTCTTCTGAGTTTTCATATTGCCAGGAGGAGAGAGTTCTCGCAGAAGTCTCATCCTTTCAGGGTCTAGTCTAATGGTTCCTTTACTTACGTTATAGCCTAGAAGTTTTATTTCCCTTACTCTGTAGATATTTATTCTCATTCAAGGTGAGACCATACTTTTCAATCAGTTCTTAGAATCTTGCCAAGTTAGTGTCATTTTCTCTTTCATTAGTACCACATATGGTCACGTCGTTTATATATGCGAATGTTCCATTTAGGCCTTGATTTTTGATTATTTCATTCAAAATTCTTTGAAACCCAGCCACTCCGTTTGTGACCCCAAACGGCATCCTATTGAAATTATGCAATTTCTTACCGCCTCAAAAGCCGTGTAAGGGCGGTCTACTTTAAGTAGGGGAACTTGATGATACGCACTTTTTAGGTCTAGTTTAGAGAACAGACTTTACTTGGCTATTTCCGAAAACATCGTTGTAAACTTAGGTAAAGGATAGACATCTTTTAAGGTAAAACGATTTATTGTTTGTGAATAAGCGATGACAAACCATTACTTGCGTTCTCCACGGAGATCTACTGGGCTCAATGATATCTGAATCCAACAGGCTTTTTTTATTTCCTTCCTTATAAATACCTCCTATTCTTTATAGCAGGGGTAGGCAAACATTTTGGGAGTGCCTACCAAAACTGGCCAAATCTTATATGCAGCACCAGCAACGAACCTAACGGTTGATGGGACTCTAGACCAGGGGTCGGCAACGTATGGCATGCGTGCCACACGCAGCATGCCAAGCAATTCCAATGGCACGCAGCTGCAAATGACATGATATTTAGCTGTTCCAATTTTAATATATACTAAAGTATACATACCATATATCACTATATAAAATATATTGTAGAACAGGTATATTGGTCTTGACTTGTAAAAAAATACGTATGCTGTTGGCACACTGAATGATTTTAAAACCCTAAGTCGGCACATAGCAAAAGGTTGCCGACCCCTGCTCTAGAGTATGATTGGGATTTCACAGATATAGATCTACAGTCAGGCGACAGATTTTTAAAATCCTCATACTAGTGACTCAACAGTTTTAGAGGTGGTCTGTCTCTCTCACATAAAATTTCTATTTTTTTGAGCAGGCCTTGAAAGTCTTGTCTGAGGATCACATCAGCATATAAATTAACCATTAAGGATAAATTAAATGTTTTGTAAGTTTCTGTACCAACCGTAAGATTCGATTTACGTTTTCCTCCACTTTTTAATAAAAAGTCAGTTGAAGCCATACTGAAAGTACAGTTAGTAGGTCTAACGTCCTACACACCGAGACTCAGCTACCTTGGTGTCGATAAAACTATGACTAATTCCCAAAACTACTAGCGCGATAAGTTTTTTTTTTTTTTTTTTTTTTCACGAGGTATTTTACCGTGTCTTTCGAAACTTCCTGTAGCCCAGCAGTTACCGTGGCCATTACGGATAATGCAGCAGAAAACTTAAACGACAGATTTTAGCGAAATGGCCTTCCTTCTTGCAATTGCAACATCTCGTTCCTCGAGCCGGACATTTCTAGCTTACCTACTGTCTCCGCAGGAGAAAAAAAAAGGGATTTGTTAGCAGCGGATATCGGAGAGTCCTCCTCCTTTTGATTTTCCTCTTGTTGAGAAGTTAAGGCGTTAGTCTGGGGTTCCCATACCGACGCCATTTGATAACTTGTTCGGGTATCAGCAGAATAGGCTTCAGAATTTAGGATAACCCTTTCCACACATCGAACTTGATTTTCACCTTATGTGAGGGTGAGCGGTTTTCAAGGAGTCTCCACTGAATAGGAAGTGTGGATAACCCAGAAATAAAGGAATCTCTAATAGCCCACTCTTTGTAAATTTGAGCGGTAACATCTTTGGATTTACAGTTTTTCGCCAGGACGTGCAGTGCTTGAAAATATTGATCTAAGGTTTCTACATCCTGTTGAATTCTGGTTGCAAGTACATGCCTGACGCATATCTCACTTTTTTCTTGGACGAAAGCTCTCTTTAGAAGGTTAATCGATTCTTCAAAGTTTGTACATTTGCGGAACAGTTTATAAGTGTTGTAGCATACCTACGGACGATAAAAATATGTCCCCACTCACATAAATACAGTAGTAAATACTGTATGTTGATCTGCAGTCGGAGATTCGTCTCCGGCTGTGCTCGTCAAAATCTCTGCCTCCGTAACAATAAATCTTTCTAAATAATAGTTAGAATAAACTACAACAATTAACCCCAAAATTGAATAAATAGCTTTAGTTGTCTTCCCAAACCGAAACAAAACTGTTAAATTCTAGTTGGTGACGGAGGCCATTGGTTTGTGCCAACGGCTTCCCATACTTCATACTTCTCCAATTCAATCTCGCGTGGTCATGTGTGACGTCATGAGATGCGGTGCGATTTTCGCTCCTAGCGTCTTATATGCACGTGTTTATCGTTGCTTAGAAATCATTTATGTAAACAATCACAGACTATCATCACTATCATGCGTATATTGCTTAATATGTTGTAATTGACATCTTTGATAATGGCTTATGTAAGCCGAAAGCTTAGATTGTATTAAAAATTAAGGATCAATATTGTGAATTTCTTTCTTCGTTCAATGATAATGTTATTAAACTTATCAGACGTTATGAAAAGAATTTACATAAAATAGACAACACTTGTCTATATTATTTAATGAAACGTGTGTATATATATATATATATATATATTAATTTTTATCATATAGACAAAACAATTTTACTCACCACAAAGAATTTTAACTGCACTTCAATGGGTGAGAATCGAAAATGATTATGAACAATCCTGATTGTAGGCAAGCCGTATGTGTGTGTATATATATATATATATATATATATATGGGGAGGGACAGTGTGTGAGAGAGAGAGAGAGAGAGAGAGAGAGAGGAAGAGAAGAGGAGAAAGAAAAAAGTGCGCGCTATCTTATTGTGTTAACCGTACTGAATTGTGCTACATTTGAAGACCAGTGCTACTAAATTTGAATTGACTTTCTTCTCCTTAATATCTCAGTTTATTACTAAGTACGCCTGGTGTACATATGTACCCTTAAGTATATAAACTTACATATGCATATGTGTGCATGCGTATATTTTTTTTATTTCGTATAATCGACCCTCCCCCCAACCAAATTAAAAATGACCGACCGGTACCTTGCAAAACTCATCTGCGTTTGTCTAATTAGAAATCCCTGACACACGTCTGCTCATTCGTTTCAAATAAGAAATTGTTATTCCAGACCTGGCAATAACAACTTAAAACATTAGTTCTTTCGCGTATTCAGTGAGTCGTTTAGCAGACTATCACTACAGAAAAGAGAGTTCGATCCTCCGACGAGACTCGAACTTGCGAAAAGATTCCTTTTTTTATAAATTATTTTGATGTCAACGATACTCGTTGTCAATTTCGTAATGCTCGTTGTAGTAGAGACTTTGTAATCGCAGATGCAACTATAGTAACGCCGTTGAACAATACTGGTGTCAGACGCCTTCGAATAACCCTCGCACTAATAGTAGTTGCTCGATAATACTCGCTCGACAAGTAACACGTATAGTGATCTGAATAGAGGAATATTATAGTGAATAAAGTAGAGAATAGCGGTCTATGTAGTAATAGAGGATAGACTAGAAATGGGGATCCGTATAGTAATAGAGGATAGAATAGAAAGAGTGATTCATGAGACGTCACGCTAATTCCCATATACATATATATTTCCTTTACTATCACGTGATCTACTTATTCAAAATGAGAACACCTGTGTTTGCTCACTGGTGATCTGTGTTCAAACTCCAGTGTCGGTAGAGACACTTTATTCCTATATAACATATGGAAGCCTAGGATGAGGGATGTGAGTTCGGTCCTTGCTGGCGGTTTATTTCCGATCTACAAGACTTACTAACGATCGTTGAAGAACGATCTGGAAGTTGCGAAAAAATGTAACTAAAACTGAATAATCCGAGATTGAAAATTTTGGACCGTCGTGAAAAAAAAAAAAAAAAAAAAAAAACGGTGTGTCAAAAAATCGTTTTTTTTTCCCTTGACGCCGCTATTATTTTAACAACTTTCATTCTTCGGCAATGTTTATTGTTTTAAAATTGTAATAAAGTCTAAACATATGAAAGTGAATTTATACATTTTCTTTTATCAGCAGTGGGTTCTTTAGCTACTGATGGTCAAAAGATCAATTAGGTAATTATATGTCCCCAACCAAGTCTGAAATTATCTAAGACACAATGTCATTTTACCATTTCTTTGAGTTTATTTGAAATGGAATATTTCTGAAGTGTTTTTCTTGTTTGTGTAGTTCTTTGAAATGTATTTTGTTTGTTCGTTTCTCCTTTTGAGAGATAGATTTGTTGTTTGCAGTTTTTAAGTTGCATTTCCTAAAGAAAAGGATAACATCGCTATGAAGAGGGGACCTCTTTTCATGAGCGGTCAGTTACATACCTACAAAGTAAGTTTAGCCACTCCTCGGACACGTTAATATTTTTCCTGCATTGGTCAAACCTGAAAAGGTATTAACATCTTTGTTATGAGTTTGTTACTCATGAAGAGGAGCGCCTGTTCCTTAACATCTTTGAACATTTTGAGGTGAAGGGACACAAAAAAATGGTCTCAGTGTTACTGGCGCTATATTTTTTTTTATATTCGCTGAAATTGGACAGTTAAAATGTTACCGTCTCCTTTGAAGTGGAAGGAAGAGGACTTCTATTGACCGTAGTAGGCAGTTTGAAGCTAGACCTTCAATGAAGAGGAGTTTTTTTTTAATTCCCGCTCATTGAAATGGCAAAGCGTTTCCCAAAGAAAATGATGCGAGGGAAAGAAAATAACTGAAGGCAAGTTTCCCTTTTGAGTAAAGAGCAAGTTCTTCCGAGAAAGTTTAAGAAGTCCTCTCTAAGAATCCCCAGAAAGAAGAACTTGATGTAACAAAGTTTTACTGTAAATAAAAAAAAAAAGAGCTGAAAAGTTCTTAAGTGTTGTTTGAGACTAAAAAGACATTTACAAAGACGACGACGATGACGTGATGTTTCAAGAGTTTGTACCACCGCGTGTTTCAAGGAAGCTTTCCCCTTCTTCGGCTGAATATTAAAAGAAAGAAGAATTTTCCATTCGGACTGGAGGAAAATAATTAGAAAAAATGACCTTGGTCTCCAAAGAAAAAGAAACTATTAATTTTTTATTGCTCTTTCTACTTTCTTTCTCAGCACCCCCATTGCGTCTTAGTGGCTTCATCGCCTTGCTCGGGATGAAATTATATAATAAAAAAACAACCTTCCAGAGGTTCTTTGCAGTTAACGATCTTTCAGAAGTGTAATGCATCTGCAAATAACTCATGTGTCGTTTTGGCACGTTCGATAATACATGAAATATGTCAGACTGCTATTCGAAGTGCTCATGAAATATTGAAAATTTTCATCGACAATGGGATCTCATAAACTGAAGAATATTCATTGTAATTAACTTTATCTTCATTCACAGCAGTAGCTACCCTGCTACTAGAGGGCCTGTCAATAAGATCAGTTTCTCTTTTCGCTCTAGGATTATCATTAACTCTACTGAACTTTCTCCTTAATGGGCGTGGCATGATGGATCTGAGCCGTGAAGGTTAGGATTGGTCGAGGAGTGTAGTTCATCTGAGCTCTCTCCATGGAAATACCGATAGAGATGCGAGAGGCTTGCGACGTCTCGCCTGTGAGAAAGTGGAAAATAATTCATCGCCTAAAAGGATGCACAAACGATAGCCTCTTCGTAAACATTCACTAACTTCATGTGAACGTTTGCAGCACTTTTGCCTTCCAAAAATAGAAATTCTATAACAGTTCTTTGCTTTCTATGTATATCCACAGGGTAGCCATTTTGAAAGCATATTATGGGTAGGAATGAAAAAGGTAACTTCACAAATGTTTCCACATATTAGAAATTCAAATCTCTTAAAATTAGAGTATGCATTCATTTTTAACCGACTCTATCTCTCCCTTGTGTGTATTTTTGTATATTCTTAAATAGTGAGCTATCACAAAAAAAAGAACATTTTGTTACTGAACTGTTACGCGACATCTGTCCTTCTTTACGGCATCGAATGTTGGACGATTTCCCCAAAGATGAAGAAGAGACTCTAGGCGACAGAGATGTGGTTCTACAGAAGGATATAATGGACTGAGAGAGTGAGCAACGGTGAGATCTTAGAGAGGTTGCAAACAAGGAGGAGGCTTATACTTAACATCAGGAAGAGACAGCTGAAGTTTCTGGGACATATAATGAGGAAGGAGGGCCTGGAGGATCTGATACTCATGGGTCGAATAGAGGAAAAGAGAGACAAGGGAAAACAACACGACATATCTGGCGGACTTAAGTAAGTGGATGACAGAACGTGACCTGGGGGAGGAATCAGAGGAAAGAACTTGTTGATAGCTGCAAGGGATAGAGGGAGGTGGAGAGTCATGATCACCTACGTCCTGAAAAGGACATAAAAAGAAAGATTATTAAGGAAAATCTCAAATGCCCAACATTCCAGTCACTTCACTCTGTGGCTTTCTTCAAGTGTCTTTCTTTGTACTTAATAATTTCTCGGAATTTCAATTCAAATAGGAATATAGTTTGCATTCCAGTGCTTAGGAGTTATGACTCCTATCAATTAATACTCACCAATCTTATTCGTATTTGAGTTGTTTGTTTTGTGCATTGAATCAGAATATATGAATTTTCAGAATGATAAGATCCAATAAAAATTGGTAAGAAAGAAGAAAAGGAAAAAAAATGCAGAAAAGACATAAGAATGAAGGAAAAAAGAAAAGGGAAAAATGAAGAAAAGACAAGAATGAAGGAAAGAAGAAAGGGGAAAAAATGAATGAAAAATGAATGAAAAAAGAAAAGGGAAAAATGAGGAAAAGGAAAAAATGAAGAAAAGACATAAGAATGAAGGAAAGAAGAAAAAATGAATGAAAAAGAAAAGACAAGATTGAAGGAAAGAAGAAAAGGGGAAAAAATGAATGAAAAAAGAAAAGGGGAAAAAATGAATGAAAAAAAAAAATTAAAAAAATGAATGAAAAAAAGAAAATATGAAAAAAAATGAATGAAAAAAAAAAAAAAAAAATGAAGTAAAAAAGAAAAGGGAAAAAAATGAATGAAAAAAAGAAAAGGGAAAAAATGAATGAAAAAAGAAAAGGGGAAAAAATGAATGAAAAAAGAAAAGGGGAAAAAATGAATGAAAAAAGAAAAGGGGAAAAAATGAATGAAAAAAGAAAAGGGGAAAAAATGAATGAAAAAAGAAAAGGGGAAAAAATGAATGAAAAAAGAAAAGGGAAAAAAAAATGAATGAAAAAAAGAAAAGGGAAAAAATGAAAAAAAAAAAGAAAAGGGAAAAAATGAATGAAAAAAGAAAAGGGGAAAAAATGAATGAAAAAAGAAAAGGGGAAAAAATGAATGAAAAAAGAAAAGGGGAAAAAATGAATGAAAAAAAAAAAAAGGAAAAAAAATGAAAAAAAAAAAGGGAAAAATGAAATGAAAAAGAAAAAGGGGAAAAATGAATGAATGAAAAAAGAAAAGGGGAAAAAATGAATGAATGGAAAAAGAAAAGGGGAAAAATGAATGAATGGAAAAAGAAAAGGGGAAAAAGGAATGAATGGAAAAAGAAAAGGGGAAAAAGGAATGAATGGAAAAAGAAAAGGGGAAAAAATAAATGAAAAAAGAAAAGGGAAAAAAATGAAGTAAAAAAGAAAAGGGAAAAAAATGAAGTAAAAAAGAAAAGGGAAAAAATGAAAAAATAAAAGGGGAAAAAAGGAATGAAAAATAAAAGGGGAAAATGAATGAAAAAAAAAAAAAGGGAAAAAAATGAATGGAAAAAGAAAAAGGGAAAAAAATGAAAAAAAGAAAAACTAAAAAATGAAAAAAAAAACTGTCAAAAAAATGAATGAAAAAAAGAAAATATAAAAAAATGAATGAAAAAGAAAAAGAAAAAATGAAGAAAAGAAGACAAGGGAAAAATAAAGAAAAGAGCAAAAATGAAGAAAAGAGTTGAGAAAGAAAAAAAAGGAAAAATAAAGAAAAGGGCAAAAATGAAGGAAAGAGAAAAAGGAAGCAAAGAGAAAGAAGAAAAAGGAAAGAAGAAAAAAGAAAGATTTGTAAAAGAGAGAAAGAAAACAAAGGGAGTTGTATGAAATGCCAACAGTTATAAAATGAGAGTAATACTCATGAAAAATGAATCGTAAAACATAAAATGTCTTCAACTGCTAAATCTCTCCATCTCACAGCAGGGTGACTTACAGAACAACATTTTTTTTTTGTTGGAATAATCTATATTTACTTACCAAAGTTAGATTAGCTCTGACTCAAAATCAATCTTTTAATAGTAAATGTTTAGGCAAAATAATTTTGATATGTGGACCCATTCTTCCTGAAGGCAGAAGAGAACTTTAAATAATAGGGAAAGAAAAAAGAAAATGGAGCAAAAAAAAAAAAAAAAGCTGAGTATTTCTTCAGCAGATTAACTTCACCCTAACGCACACACAAAATCTACATTCACGAGATATAAAATTAGAAGAACCCCTCTGAAAGAACATGATAGGATGATGCCCGACTCATTCAATTAGCCCACCTACATCTCTTGCTGTATTGAGTCACCAGGTGCAAGTCTTGAAATAATGTATCACATGGTGGCATTTACCATCTGTACAAGTGTATGCATATGAGAATACATACCAATATTGATGCCCAAGGAGGATATACAAAAAGTTTATCTTGTCATTGAAGGTGAGTCTAATCTTTGTGCCTGGTCAGAATGAAAAAACAAATTTGTGTGATTTTTGTACTAAAACCGTTAACAAACCAATATTAACGGCTTTAGTACAAAAATCACACAATTTTTCATTTTGAGCAGAAGATGCCAGTCTAACAAATAACTATTTAATATTAACACACACACATATTTGTTTCATTCTGAACTGAAGAAGCCAATCTAACAAAGATAAAAGTGTAGTCTATAAATCAGTTTTCCAGTTTGTCTTAATTTATCAAATATATGATTCCATCAGTAAAAAACATGTTGTCAGAAGAAATCTTTTCCAAAGACGAAATCCATCGCATACAATTTTTTCCATTCAATTACACACTTAAATATTTCAGGTAGGCAAATGAATGAAGGAAAAAATTGGGAAAAAATCTCATGTGATGCGTTTCATCCATAGAGGGGACTCATTCAGACTACATAATATTTTTAATGATACAATCGTATGTATGGGGGGGCAAAGAACAAACATCCCACTTTAAATATGTAATTCCATCAGTAAAAATATTACTCAATAGAAGTCCACTAGAAGGATGAGACACATCACACAGAACTTATCAATTTTGTCATTTAGTTACCAGCCATAAGTCTGACATAGAATTTATATATCATATCCTATTACATTATATATATATATATATATATATATATATATATATATATATATATATATATATATTCAGTTGTATGGATATTAGTTTGTGATGCTGGGCTTTTGTGATCATCAGACAAACTGGTCTATTTTTTAAAAAATGGATTTATTTATACTTATTTGTAGGAGGGGGGAATTTTGTTTTTTTTTTTAAATCAAACACAAATAAGCATAAATAGATCCATTGGGTTAACTTAATGACTATATTCTTTCATTGGCTCCTCCTACTCCTTTTCTTCTCTTCTTTTTCTCTTTTAAATGTTTTAAGTTCCTATTTTATTCCTTCACACTTCTGAATTGACAATGCCAAAACTATAAGACTTGTTGGTTGAAATAGCTATTCGAATGAGGTAAATTTGGATTTCTATTCTATGTAATTTATATGATCTGTTATAATAAATACATTGAGTTCTTTTTTAATTATATATATATATATATATATATATATATATATATATATATATATATATATATATATATATATATATATATTACCTAAGAGGATAGAATCAGGTAGAACTCAATGTCCAGGAGGACAAAGTAAGAATATAATATTGAATTTGTAGGTCTGTTGAATTGGATCGTGATTACAATTCCAATGTAATAAATTATAATCATGGAATATTAGTGTTTGAGCCTTATATATATATATATATATATATATATATATATATATATATATATATATGTATGTAGTGCGCATGTGTATGTAGGTCTATATTTTGAGATGAAATATTGTAACTATTTACATCATTCAGATTCATACTGTTGTGCTCATCTTTATAGTGCCATATTCATGTTTCGGCTGTTGTATGCTCTGGCCTTCTTCAGATGATATACATTGAAATTTTTGAACCAAACTCATTATTTAGAAATAAATAGTAAATAAAATTTCAGAGTTTAGGCAGAGATGTTAGAAGTATAGAGTTGAAATAGGCTTTAGAAGGATCAATGATACAAGTCTTACTTGAATTAAACATTATAAAAAATATCTTTGTGTAATATGTTATTTTACTGGAAAAGCAGGCACTAAAATTTCTATTACCGGTTTTGTTACACTGTTGATGCATAAAAAAAAGAAAGAAAAAAAAAAAGATTTTTAACCAAAATTTCCAACGTGTCAAAAAAGGAGTAAAATAAAATTGAAAATAATTAAAAAATACTTTGGTCTTTCCTCTTAATAATAACAAACATTTTGGCAATAAAACTTTGTTTTTATTAAGTTTGGGGACTTTTTTCACCATGGTGTTCTTCTTTCAGCAACTTAGCAGAGGTACCTAATTTATAACATTATAAAAATATTAAAAAGAAAAACATTTATTGTAAATTTTTTTTATTTCTACATTTTTTTTTTCTTGTGTATATTTTTAAAAATAATTTTTCTTAAATTAATTAAAAAAAATTGAAATGTAGGGAAAAAAAAAAGACAAAAAGCTGATAGATATGCTGTATAAGAAAAAAAAAATTGGCAAAAACATAGCAATTCTTACCACTTCCCCAACAGTATATATATATTATATATATAAAAAGCAATGAATTATATTAACCCACTGTATACAAGAAATCGGAAAAAGAAAAATCTGGTTAAATTACGGAAGTTAAGTGCAGAGTCAAGTGTTGACATCTTCTGTATATATTTCTTTCTGGTCCGAGATTAATGACTTTGAGAGGATTCTCAAAGAATTATTTTGATTTCTTGAAAACAACTGGATTGAGAATGCAATATATATTACATGGTGTACATTAATGGCAAAATGTTAGCGTTTTAAACACACACACATTTCTGTACGTATTTAGTGGACATTTTTGTTTCATAATTAACACTGTAAATGAAAAGTTGCCTTCTTTAAAAACATCCATACTGTTCCATCTGGTGTCAGTTTTATATAAATATTTATATATCCTTTTATTTTAAAATTTAGACAAATTCAAAAATGAAGTCATGTTCTTTTCAGACCAAATATCAGCACAAAAAAAAAAAAATAAGTGAAATGACTCTAAATTTTAGATTTGGCCTCTAAAAACGCCAAAGTTAAAAATAGCTTTAGAGTAGGTGGGTATGTCCATGTACATACCCATATAATGAGCTTTTTTCTTAACTCAATATTGTGTGAGTGTGTATATATATATATATATATATATATATATATATATATATATATGTGTTTTCTTGTGTATATAAAAAAAAAAAAAGACTTTTTCATGTCACATATATTCTTTGCATTTGCCAAGATCTAGACTGACCACACAGAGAAAAAGCCACATATTTTTGTTCTCCCTTGAACACCAGTATCCCAGCTGCCACCTTAGATAAAAGTTTAAACATCCAAATATTCAGTCCCTTACTTCAACCATGAAAGCAAGTTTGCAGGTCTATAAATGAAGCATATGGTTAAATTTTATTTAAAAATAAAAAATCTTTTAATGCTTCGTTTATCTGATTATTTTAAATTATTGTATATATATATATATATATATATATATATATATATATAAAGTTTCAAGAATAATAAATTTAAAAAAAAAAATCAAAGTACTGAAGTTTGGCTAATGATATTTTTCAGTTCATGGCTGCCTTAAAAACGTCTTTTACACGATCAACCATGTCCTGCACGGCCTGCACTGATGGATAGTAAAGTGCTGCAGTTTTGAAAGTAATAACAGGTTTTAAATTGTCACAAAGCAATGTTGTCAATTGCATTATCCGATTTCGAAAATCTATATCCATTAAATTTCGGTGTAGCGTATCACCGATGTATACCAACTTTGTGGCTGAAAGTACGACAAATTTACTATTTGAAATGAACACCTTTGGTGGCTGGATGCTGTCGATGCAATTATAAAATGCCTCGATAGAATTGCTCAGTAGCGTGTAGTGTGTTTCAATCTGTTCATAGTAATAGAGTAGAACTTGTCGGTCATTAGGGTCCAGCCGTTTCTGCTGCGTGAGCGGCTTTTCGGGCGTGATCACATTGACATTCGTGAAGGACATTATATCATTCATATTTTCATTTATGTTTGTTGGGGTTTTCAGTTCTTTTTCAAAGTCAATGTCGAGTGACTTGGAGAGTGCAACATAGTCAAGCCCTTTGCTGATACTCTCGATCTCTTTCGAGTATTCCGTTTTGTCTGCTAGCAATGTCAGAACAGCAGAGTCCGTTTTTGCAGCGTCTGTTGTTTCTGGAAATGATGGCGCTGGTGGATCACTAATACTTGCAATTCCCCTTTGCATGGAATTGATAGCTGCTTCAAGAGAGGATTCAGATTCGGCCAGTTTTTCTGCTGCGATTCTTTCGTTTATAGTTGGTACTTTGCTAGTATCTGGTGTAATTTTGCTACTATAAATATTTTGCTTCTTGTGGGGCTCGGGGGGTTGGGAAGATGTTGGTGCAATCTTCTCGGGATTTTTGTCGTGTGTCTCAAGCTGGACATAGTCATAATCTATAGAATCAACTGAATCAGTGTCACCATCATCATTTTTTTTCTTAATCTTATTCAGTTCCTTGCTAGGAAGCCTGTTAGACATCCATGGCTTTGAGAATTGATTTGGTGTCGGAGGCAGTGGCCGATTTACTGGTGGTGGAGGCGGAAGAGGACGGTTTTGGACACTATCGCTGCTATGACGTCGATTCAGTGCCCTTGCGGGAATAGACTCAAAACCAGTCTTCCCAGAAGGTTTCTCATGCTTAGAGAGTTCCATTTTAGAACCAGAGGTGTCGGCTGCAGTTTTGAAGAGAAGAACTGCATTGCCCTGAATAAAAGAAGCAAGATTACGCACATCGTGAGGTAATTCTTTGGACAGAGTAGCAATCTTGCCTAAATCATCATCTTTGGAAACCTCACTGCTCACCAGGAGAGTGATCTGCCAGTTGATTTCATCAAGTTTCTTGCAGCTAACAATAACTTGTTGCAATGCTTTTTGTATTGGGCTCAAAAGTTTGTAGAGCTTGTTGGCAAGCTTAGAGTCACAGGTTTTCACTGAGTTGGCTAGCGTGCCCTCAGCAAATTCAACAAAATCAGATAAACTTGTCTTCACTCCATTGCAAGCCATTTGAATCTCGTAGAGTTTCGGTTCCAAATTCTGTTTCAGACGCCACGTGCTACTGATGAAACTAGACATTTTGAAGATCGCTTTCTGGACGCTCTGTCGACGCTTGACCAATAGCTCCATGGCTGCATCCAGCGAGAGGGGAAGTTCGTTGTAGATTGGAATATCAGACCCTCGAGAATCGGTGCTACAAGACGACAACCTCCCAACGTCCTGACCATCTGAAGAGTCAGACTTTGCTGAGAGCATTGAATCTCTGGAGACCTGCGGAGGAATATCATAAATGGTTGTTGAGCCACCTTTATTTGAAGTCAAAGAACCAAATGACCGGTCGACACCTTCAGAAACAGGTGCATTGCTTTTCGGAATGTCATAGAGCTCATCTAGGGCATGCTCAAAGACCAGCGATGGCATGTCGAAGTTTGATGGTTCCACTGGTGGGATATCGTAGTCATCGTAAGCTGACTTTGGGATATCATAATCTTCGATGAGAGATGAGTTTGATGGAGAGTTTTTGGAACGTGACGGTGGTGTATCGTAAAGATCCAAGACAGAATCGTTAAACTGCTGTCGCATCATGTGCCCATGGTCTGGTGGCACATCGTAAAAAGCTGAAACATCCAGGCTAGATCGTGCAGAATCACAGAGACTCGATGTGTTTGAGGAACGAGGAAGACTTAGGTTTGATGCACTACTAGAAAGTGTCATCGTTGATTCTGTTGATACAAAGGAGGCCATACTTGAGCGATTAGATGGCAGAACATCATATGTCTCTGCATCTGGAAGAAAGCTGTTCAGGGAATCAGTTATCCGATTTGGAGGAGAATTGTAAATAGGTTGGTTTGATGTGGAATCCGTCTTTTCTTTGGGTAATGTGTCATAGTTGGCTTCAAGATGTTGGTTAGAACCACTGGTATTAAGGTTTCTGGGAGGTGGCACATCATAGTCTTCAGGTGCATGCCGAACTGGAGGATGGTCATAAAGAGGAGAGTCTGTGTCAGTTTGTCCAACCTGAAAGAATAAAGTAAAAATAAAATAAATATCAAGAAAGAAATTGAGAAGGCATAACATGCTTAACTAAGTCAGTCAGTCAGTTATGTGCCATACCGGATACACGTTTAAGCGATCAAGTATTGAAAGATACATGACTGACGAGGCAGATTTCTTCCCACAGTAGGTTGCCAATTCTTTCTGTGCTAGACTAGTTGTCATCCAAGGCTATAGAACCCAGTCTGTTCTGCTATATATTTACCCATATTTAGAAGTAGAGGATTCATACCTTTTGCAAGGGTATTAGCATGTTAGTGAATGTAATGGATTCAACAGGAATTTGAGCTTGGCTCACTGATTACTCCATCCGAGCCACTATCCATTACTCCAACATGCTATAACTAAGTACCCCCACAAAAAAACATGATACCTAAAGACAAACAGAGTGCGACTCGAGAGGTAAGACAGACAGAGAGTGCGACTCGAGAGGTAAGACAGACAGAGAGTGCGACTCGAGACTCGAGAGGTAAGAGAAACTGATAGTGACTCGAGAGGTAAAATCAATGAGATCAACACAAGGAGAGGAAAAAGGCAAATAAAGCGACCCAAGGAGAGTGTAATATAGCAACAAGCTTATGAATCTTTATTTGACTAATTCAGCTTTAGCACTGAAAATGTTCATTTTATTATAGTGAATGGTTGCAAGCGAGAGGGGAGTATGATGTGCTTATTTTATTATGACAGAGAGGAAAAAAAAATGTAAAAAAATGACTGAGTAGAAAAAACAGACTGTGATCAGAGTGGGGAAAAAAAAAACAGAGTGATACAATGAAAGGAGAAAAAAAAAAGGGAGAGAGTGATGCAATGAGAGGTAAAAAACTGTAAAAGAGTGATTCTAGGAGAGAAAGAGAGATTTGAGAGAGAAGGAAAAAAGCAAATAAAAAAGGCAGCCAAAGAGGAAGGGGAAAAAGAATCAGCAGGTTATTAATTCCTGACATAAATTTGGTTATTAACCAAATCCAACATAGATTATCTGGAACAAAGGTCAACGAAATAAAGACAATGTTTTCAGGTGGGTGAGTGCAGCAAATATTCATCTTCATACCAAAAAAGTCATGGAGCATTACTTTATATGCACAACCTTCTTACTACCAAACATCACATGTCAGCTGATGCAGCGCATACAGACACACATACTTAGTCTGCTAGGATGGTTAATTCTTGCAAACAACTATTTAGGTGTGGTACCCATTTGAATTAGAAACTGACATTAAGCCTTTTACATCAGACATAACATCTATTAAATGATTCTATTAAAACTTTCAGTCATCCTTAACATTGCATGTACAATGAGACAGCAAATTTAAAAGGCGTGGTTGGGGAGGGGGGGGTTATTAATCTTATTTTTTTATTTTTTTTTTAATGTGGACTGCATTTGAACATATGACACATCAAGAAAACAATTCAGAATTTATGGCTGCCCAGTTACTTCCTGACAAGTCTATGATTCTGTCTGTCTGTGTAGTTAGTTCGTGCAGAAAGAAAGAATTTTCAGTGACCAAAAAACACCTTAATCAGGGGTTCTTAACTGGGGGTATCCATACCCCCAAGGGGTGTGGGAACCAAATGCTGGGGGTATGGGTTGAGAAGAGTTCGCTATGACCAGAAAGCAACTCTTACATCATATGGGTTTTCTGCTCCAGGGAAACCTCTTCTGGAAGCCTCCTACAAAGTTTCGTACATGATTGCCAGAGAAAAGAAGCCCCACATAATAGGGGAGACCCTCAAAGCAATGAAGTCAGGTGTCCTTGATAATTATTTCGACAGTCAAGTGAAGGGGGTATGGGACCATATTGGACAATCCATTGGGGGTCTGTAATCATCAAAAGGTTAAGAACCCCTGACCTTAATTTTTCAACTTTATGTAAATTTCAGTAACAGATATGGATTATTGTTAGAATTTTTTTTTTAATCATTTCCTTCTAATCAAGGCAATAAGCCACTAAGACACATACTGAGTGTAAAAGAATATATGAGAAAAAAAAAAAACACTATTAAAGAGAGAGAACAATAAAAGAACAGGAATTAAGAAGAGAGAAGATAACGATTGATAATAATTTGAATTTTTGGAGATCAAAGTTGACTGGGAAGCAAGATGCCAGAGTAAGTGACATTCACAAAATTGGGAAAATCAATATTTTCACAGTAAAATTCATAATGACCAAAAATACTTGCAAAAATTTCAGGAAGTATTATTTTTTTTAATTTTTTCACCCCAATCAAGGCAATAAAGCCACTATTACCAGGAATAAAAATCTTGTTGGCATTAAATAACCCATTGAGGTTGATATGCCGTAAAACAAAACAGACCAAACCAATATATACTGAGATAGATAGATAGAAAAATATTACCAGGAATAAAAATCTTGTCAGCATTAACTCACCCATTGTGGTTGATATGTCATAAAAGAAACCAAACCAAAACTGCACACCATCATGCTTAATAAATTTCAAAAGTATCGCTTTAGTAATGAGTATATTATTTACAATGAATGGGCATAGAGAATGCATTCTTTTGTTAGATATCTTGCCTCTTTCTCATCTGAAATTGTTTCTGAAATGCTTGTCTGCCTTTTTAAGACAAGAGTAATCTGCCCTTTTTCAGACAAACTTACCAAATCTGGTTAACCAAACACAATATGAATATAAATATTTTATTGCTGTTAGTTTCCATGAAAATGACCAAAACTAGATATTTTCTAGAATTGATCCTTCCTGAGAAGTCTGTTGTAATTAGCAGTGTAAAAGCAGGCTAGATTACACAGCAGTTGTAAATGGGATACAGGTTCGAACTCTGCTGAAGGGCACATAACTTTTATTAGACTATTGAAAAACCCAGGCCTGTAGACGTCAATTATTCTGTTTTAAAAAAAACATGTATATCCACTAAATATAACGTTTATGATAATGAGAAATAATGTCATATTTGAAAAATCTATTAATAATACCTTTTATATAAATACAGTAGAGCCTTGGTTCACAAATTTAATTTGTTCCTGAAGGCTGTTTGTGTCCCAAAATGTTGGTAAACTGAAGCTATTTCACCCCATAGGAATCATTGTAAAATGGATTAACCCATTACTGGAGATGTGTGTGTGTGTGTGTGTATATATATATATATATATATATATATATATATATATATATATGTCTGTGTGTATGCACGTTTCATTAAAAACAACAGACAAGGTACTACGGTTAAGCTTTTTATTTAATTTTTCTTGTGTTCGAACAAGAGCTTTCTTTTCTGGACAAAGAGTGTGTAAGAACTGTCCAAATGTTTTATATTTCCAAGCATTTCAGCTATAGCTTTAGCCATTATTCTAATTTTTTCAGCTTAATTGAGTTTGTGCGTTCTGTGTATGTTTAGTGTGTGGTAGGGATATTTTAATTTCTGAATATGGTTATACATTTGTGGCCTTGTTCGCAGTTAATATTGTTAAGAGTTGGCTTAAAATATTTTTATTATTAAAACTTCCATTATTTTTTAGTCGTTTTTTTTGCAGGTGGATGCAGTTAATATATTTGTGTTTTCTACTAGTGTGTTCCTAATGGAGTCTGGTAAAATTTGTATGTGTGTTTAAATGGGTTCACAAGAATAATTAAATAAGCTTAAACGTAGTACCGTGTCTGTCATTTTTAATGAAACATGCATAAAAGAAGGATTGCTGCCTAAATATACAACTATATATATGTGTGTGTATATATATATATATATATATATATATATACATACATACATACATACATGTGTGTGTGTGTGTGTATACTCATATATACATTATATATCTCCAAACCAAAGTTTGATTAAAAAAACTGACATGGTCTGTTTGTTTAATTGGAAGAAATACAATAACAAATTAAACTGACAGACTGCATTGATTCATTTTAATCAAACTTGTTTGGACGAATAATTAATGCATAAATATACCTTATTTCCATTTTTATATATATATATATATATATATATATATATGATAGATAGGTATGTGTGCTCCTGAAAAATATTTCAGTTGAGCTCTCTGGGGAGGAAGTGTGAGTTTGTAAACAGTGATTATTACTGCTAATAATGCAAGACTCTTTGCTAAAGTGAATGACGTTCTCTCTGTCATTGTGTGTTTAGCTAAAAATAAATACACTTAAATTCACCTTCATCCCTTCAGTGTGCCAACAGCTTGGGGTAAAAACTCCAATTGACACCAATTCAGCCAGGTTTCAATCCTAGGTAGAAGCAACTGTGATATATACACACACACACACACACACAAAGAATTAATGGATTAAATTTTTTAATTTAACATCTTTTTAGCAGATTCCCATATTTGAGTAGACACTGTTTATTTTAAACTATTTATTTTGTCTGTCAGCCTGTGTACGCGAGAAAGATTAAAGAGTTACGGAACAAATGTGCCATAATTGTTTCCTTGAAGAAAAACTACAGATAACTACACAAAAATATTTTGAAGGCTTAAGATAAAGCATCATTTAAACAAACATTTAAATTCATTTCTTTCTACATTTTACTCTAATAATAATTATTTAGAAAGTGTCTAATTTTGTGGTAATAAACAAATACTATTAATAAACAATGTATATATTCTTGTGGCTGTGTGTACTTAATATATTAGAGAGAGAGAGAGAGAGAGAGAGAGTGATCCCCTGCCTTTCAGTATATTTGCATAAATGCGTGTGTGTTTAAGTGATTTTGTTTGGGCAAAAGAGAAACAGTCATAAATGGATATGCCAATGTGTGTGTATGAAAAGCTAAGTTCTCAAGGCATCTTATTTGCTGAGGTGGGGGGGAGTTGAGAAAGAGAAAAAGTGAAGGGGTGGGGGCAGCAGATATTTTTAAAGTCTGTCCAGATGAAGGAAGGGCTAAAAATGGTTTCTTGAAGAATGCGTGGAATTCTTTCTAAACAGACACTGACAGATTTCCAAAGGCATTGGCAAGTACTCAGATGAAAAATTTTTTTTTTTTAAAGGAACATATAATAAAATGAAGATGCTGCTTGTTCTCCCCACCACCACTGGGGTGGGGAGGTGGTAGAAAAACAAAATTAATAAGAGAAAAGAGAGCTGTGTGGGTCAAAATGAGAGGAAGGAAAAACACATTCTGAAAAAAACTGGAAGACGAGGAGTTTTATTTTAAGCCCACTTTCAACTTAATATTTTTGAAAGAAAATTTAACGACGGCCTGGGGGCGGGTATGGTTAAATCTACCCTTATTTTAAGAAAAAAAAAAAAAATTTTTTTCTACAAACATTTAAAATTCTGATTTCTATAAATGATTCTGGGATATCTCTTATAAACAGGGTATTGTCTCCCAGACAGAAGCTTTTAAACATTTTTTCCACTTCCTCCTGAACCATCTTAATTCATCAAATCAAGCAACTGTTACATAGAGGATTCTTCCATCAATTTTTGATATTATTTGATATTTAACACAAGGGTTCTCCCCCAGGAAGAATTTCAGGATTTCATGAGGGGTGGTGTTTTTATTTGGTATTTGGAGACTAAATAAAAAAAAAAAACAAAACCCTCCTCTATAAAAATAATCCTTGTAAATGTATATATACATATTATTTGGAATTCACCATTTGAATCAGACAGTCATGGAAAGTGGAGGAATTACCTCCTGATTTATGGAAAAAAGGTGCATTGGGTATAAAAGCTTGAGAACCCGTGAACTGAACCACCACACAACTCACGCATAATTTGATTATAGTGACAAATGCTTGTATAGAAACATCCAGAATTTTTGTAAGAATTGATAACAGAGAAATTGTGTACAGTATGCCACAAACTCTCCAAACAGACCTCCTCAGCTTTGAATTTGGAGTTTTCCTTCATGTATTGTGGTTGCCAACCAAGAAACAAAGGGCCCAGTTTCCTTTGTTATTTAACCTATAGCTGAGGGGAGAAAGATTCATACCTTTCC